TATTGTAATTGTTTTTGCCCTGAACGGCCGCGAGCTATCGGCAATGGAGACTGAATCTTTCATTAAGGTTAATCTTGTTAGATCAGTTATTTTCAGTATGGTAAATGACATTGCAATTAGCGGAATGCGCTTCGTCTTCCCAGATGTTGACATTCGATTTGGAAGTGTTTGGAACGCTGTCATCCTCTGAGCTGTGGTTAAACACAACAGGGATGATCAAACATAGCTCTGTGAAGCAACACCTGTTGAATGATTTTGCGCCATCAAGGGTTCAGATGAAATTCTGAGAGAGAAGCATCGACGTAGCCTACCTAATGAATCGGAAAAACAGGACGATACAGTGGATTTGTTTCTGGGTGAAAGTGAATATTTAACGAGCTACATGGGCTTCACTTTCATAGCGAATGAAGTTGATGTTTGAGAAATTCCCCGTCAAACAATGCAGTAACATTAACACATCGATAACTAGTTAATGATCTTTTACAGGCGACGAATGTGAGTTATGCAAAAACTGTACTCGGGAACCGCTAGGAATGCGAAAGATTCACTTGGCGAATGTCATTTTTATCAAGCTTTGAAGTTTCACACAGTGAATGTTCGCATTTACGCAGGACTTGTTCATTTTGCTGCATGTCCCTATGAAATACCGAATCATCAGCTGCATCTCAGTGGCAGCAACCTATTCTTTTTTGGGCACGGTTATCAAATGCAAAGTTTATGTAGGATGACAACGTAGATACGTATATGTTTTATAATGTCATCGTCTTCATACATCTGCTTATAGGTGGACGCTAAGATTCACTCATTTCTTATCCAGAATATTTGGTTAAATAACTTTTTCGCGAGATAAATTGCAAATATGACGTTACGCTACGATACAGTCACAGCTGCAAGTGTTGAGGTATTCGTCGATGATGACGAAGTTACGATTCAAAATTTTCAGTCTTTTGTATCGCTCTAAACTATTAACCTTTAGATTATTGCAGAGTACTGTAGCAGTGTTCGATCATTCAAAAGATTAGACGCAGCGTTGTTTTCTGAGTTATCGATTCGCTTTTTTCATTAATACCTGATTTGATTTCAGCGATATATTTTTTGAAACAATTGTACGAGAAATTTTTGAAGCACTTCTCCTTGTTACATCAGCACGCTTGGAAGCAAAAAATGACACTGACGACTCTGAGTCGCATTCCCTGAAGGTAACCGTTTTTTAGTTTAAATCGCCTCTTGTCAGTCTCTGTTTCAGGTTGACTGCAACCAAGTGGCCAACGAGTTATTTCACATTAGCAAAAGTAAAGACATTGCGGACGAACGAAGAGAGCACATCTACGACCTTGTTGAAAAGTATGCGTTTCATTATAGCTCTTGACAGTAATGAGTTGGACGAATCTGCCTCGTTTAATTATTTCTGCTGCCAATGCTGATCTTTAGGGAAATTTCTAAACTTGCTTTAAGAATTAATCTGTCT